GATCTTGGGCATGCACGCCCACGCGCATGGCATGAGTTTAAGCCATCGGGTCCGGGACTCAAACCATGGTTGACTCCAGGAGAGTCCAGTGACATAGCCATTACACCACTGTTGATCCCATTATTTTTGTATTTTTAAAGAATTATTTAATTCCATTTGTTGTTATTATTAATTTTTTAAGAGAAAATTTTGCTATGGGGCATGTGTACTCACTAGACAGAGAGACAGAAAGTAAGAAATCACCCCCCAGGGGGTCTCCACGCCGCAATCCCTTCTCCACTCTCCTCTCAGGATCTTGGGCACACACGTACATGTGCCTGGCGTGAGTTTAAGTTGCTGGGTCCAGGACTCGAACTGCGGTCGAGTATGTGGGAGTCCAGTGACGTAACCATTAGAGACGCTGGTACCTATTATTATTATTTTAATTTGACCAGAAAGAGAGAAAGGAAAAGTGAGAAAGCAAGCTACCAGGTCTGGGACTTGAACCATGGTCAGCCATATGGGAGTCCAGCACCCTAACCCCCACACCACCTGCCAGCCCCTCAAATGGAGCCGTCTGAGGATGTAGGAGCTGGGTGTAAGTGTGAGCAGCAAGAGAACCAGGGCGTGTGCAGAGGCAAGGAGGGTCAAGCAGGCACGGGGGAGGGCTTGGGCAGGATTCCACCAGCCCCAGGGGAGCCGAGGGACTAGACAGTGACCCGGGAGCTGGGCAGGGCAGGTCTCTGTCCAGGCTGGGGTCAGGGACTCCAACCCTGATGCCGCCTTTCTCCCCAGGTGCGCGAGTGTCTGCAGCAGTTCGAGGTGACGGGGACACAGCTGCAGCGGATCCACACCAGCCTCCTGGGCTCCATGGAACAGGCACTGCAGGGACAGGCCAGCCCTGCCCCTGCAGTCCGGATGCTGCCAGCCTACGTGGGCTCCATCCCACACGGCACTGGTGGGTGGCATGGAGTAAGATGGTGTCCAGGCCTGGAAGAGGGTGCTGATCTGGGAGGGGGAGTTCCTCGTCTCTGTCCCCATCTCTGAGGTCCCTTGCCCAGACTCTGCAGACCTTGAGAATTTCCTGGGAGGCAGAGGGCTCTGGTCTTGCCAACTGCATGCTTTCTGTGACCTACTTCCCCCAGAGCAAGGAGACTTCCTGGTGCTGGAGTTGGGGGCCACAGGGGCCTCGCTGCGTGTCCTGTGGGTGACTCTGGCAGGCACCGAGGGCAGTAGGGTGGAGCCCAGGAGCCAGGAGTTTGTGATCCCCCACGAGGTGATGCTGGGTGCTGGCCAGCAGGTGAGCGCTCGCTCCCCCCTGTGGGCCCGGGGCCGGCGGGCGGCTGAGGCTCAGGGGCAATGCTGAGGCCCCCATCCCACAGCTCTTTGACTTTGCCGCCCGATGCCTGCGGGAGTTCCTGGACACCCACCCCGTGGGCACGCAGGGTTTGCAGCTCGGGTTCAGCTTCTCCTTCCCTTGTCACCAGACGGGACTGGACAAGGTGAGCCGGCTGAGGCATGGTGGCGGGCGGAGAGGGGCTGCCCCCGTGATGCTGCCAGAGGGTGAGCTGACGTCTCCTCCACAGAGCACCCTCATTTCCTGGACCAAAGGGTTTAGGTGCAGCGACGTGGAAGGCCAGGATGTGGTCCAGTTGCTGAGAGACGCCATTAAGAGGCAGGGGGTGAGTGGGGAGGAGAGGGGACGAGGGGTGTATGTCCTTCACCCACGGCCACCAGGTACACACTGCGTCCCTTCCCATCTCACCGGGATGCTCGTGGGCTGGGAACGGTCCGATGAGCGTTCAGGACGCTGGAGGGAAATCGCAGAGGCTGACCCGCCCTCAGGTCCTCAGTCTAGCATTCTAAAGCAGATGGTCCCTGTCACTGTCTGTTTAGACAGTTCTGGGGGCGATGGGGCGGGAACAGTGGCCGTCCAAGTAGGAGTCGGAGGAGGAGCTCCCCGCGCTCAGCCCACGGCTGGGGAGGAGGGTCTGGCCTTCCACCACCACCCTCATGGCAGTCGTGTGCAGGGGAAGTCAGGCCTGGGGGATCGGACATGGGGCGGGTGAGGACAGAGCTGAGGCCAGTGAGGCTCAGTCTTCAAGGAGGGGGCCGGTCTCGGGGCCCTTGTCTTGGCCCTCTGGGGAGCCCAGGGAGTCGTGGCTGAGGCTGGGAGCCACTGTGCCCTGAGGGCCCGGCTCTGGGGAGGGAGAGGAGCCGTGTGTCGGGGGCACGCACGGGTGTGGGACATGCAGATCTGGGCGTCTCCATTGAAGAGATGGGGGTGGCAGCCCGCCCTGCCCGCCCCATGTCTGCTCTGGTAGTGTGGGCTGGGCCTGACTGCTGCCCCCATGTTCAGGCCTATGCTGTAGACGTGGTTGCCGTGGTGAACGACACAGTAGCCACCATGATGGGCTGTGAGCCGGGGGTCGGGCCATGCGAGGTCGGGCTCGTCGTAGGTGAGTCTTGGGCCGTTTGTGATGGTGGGTGGGGGTGTGGCTGCCTGGCTGGGAAGGCCTGATGCGTCTCCCCGGTAGACACCGGCACCAACGCGTGCTACATGGAGGAGGCGCGGCACGTGGCCGCCCTGGACGAGGACCGGGGCCGCATCTGCGTCAGTGTGGAGTGGGGCTCCTTCAGTGACGACGGGGCCTTGGGGCCTGTGCTGACCACCTTCGACCGTGCCCTGGACCAGGCGTCCCTGAATCCCGGAGCCCAGAGGTGGGCTGGCAGGGGCCCTCCTTACGTTCCAGGCCCTGTCTCTGCTCAGCTCCCACCCCCCCGCTGCCCTGTCCTCAGCCCCTCAGGCCCCTCTTCCTCACCCTGAGTGTCTCCAGGTTGCTCCTTGGAGTGTTCTGGCTGAGCTCAAAGTAGGAAGAGCTCGGGGTTCTAGAACTCGTGCTCACCCGTGGCCATCCCCAGTCCCGCGCTGGTGAGCCCCGAAGGAGGTTGGGGCTGGGGATGAGGAGGAGCTGAGCGAGTGTCCCCTGCCGTGTCTCCGGGAGACACGGGGGATCCAAAGAAAATAGCCACTGTGTGGGGGTTCTTGGAGGTGGGCCAGGCGGGTTGAGGGCTGAGGGCTCAGAAAGGCCTTTGTCCAGCGGCCTCCCCCCTGCAGGTTTGAGAAGATGATTGGGGGCCTATACCTGGGGGAGCTGGTGCGGCTGGTGCTGGCTCACCTGGCCCAGCGCGGGGCCCTCTTTGGCGGTTGCACCTCCCCTGGCCTGCTGAGCCCAGGCAGCGTCCTCCTGGAGCACGTGGCTGAGATGGAGGCGTGAGTCAGGGAGGCGAGTGGTGTAGACAAGGGGTTCTTGGCTTGGGAGAGGGATGGATGCCCTGTCCCCAAGGGAGCCCCGGGGCTTTGGTGGGGTGGTGAGCTGGGTGTCCTGAGCCTCAAGCCAGCACCCTGTCCCCGCAGCCCCTCTGCCGAGGCAGCACGTGTCCATGCTCTCCTGCAGGACCTGGGCCTGAGCCCGGAGGCTGCAGATGACGATATCCTGGAAGACCTGGGCCTGAGCCCGGAGGCTGCAGATGCTGAGCGCGTGCAGCACGTGTGTGTGGCCGTGTGCACGCGCGCTGCCCGGCTCTGCGCTGCCGCCCTGGCTGCCGTCCTGTCCCGCCTCCAGCGCGGCCGGGAGCAGCAAACACTCCAGGTGGCGGTGGCCACTGGGGGCCGTGTGCTTGAGCAACTCCCCAGGTATCGTGAAAGCGTGACCCTGTGGGAGCAGGGGTGTTTGTGACACAGACCACAGGGCGGGCTGGGGCCGTGTGTACAAGCCCATGGGTACGACGGCACACGCAGTGCGGCCTGCCTGGGCTGTGGGGGGCCTGACGCTGCCTGAGGGGAACAGGGCGCTCCTCCTGTGCGAGCGAGGCGGGCCGTGGGCACTGACTCGCATACAGGATGGGCTTGGAACCCGGCTGACTGAAACAGGTAGGGCCCGGGGCTCCAGGGGACGCCAGGCCGGGTCCAAGCCGGGCTTCACCTGTGCCGTGTAGGTTCCGCAGTGTGCTGCAGGAGACAGTGGCGCTCCTGGCCCCAGAGTGTGACGTCTCCTTCGTCCCCTCGGTGGATGGCGGTGGCCGTGGTGTGGCAGTGGTGACTGCTGTGGCTGCCCGCCAGGCTGCCCACCGGCGCCTGCTGGAGGAGACCCTGGCTCCATTCCGGCTGAATCGCGAGCACCTGGCTGCGGTGCAGGCACAGATGCGGGAGGCCATGGCCAAAGGGCTCCGTGGAGAGGCCTCCTCCCTCCGCATGCTCCCCACTTACGTCCGGGCCACCCCTGATGGCAGTGGTGAGCACGAGCGTGCCCCTGGGGTGTGGGTCCTGGGCCAGAGCCACCAGCACTGAGGTCTCCACCCCACAGAGCGAGGGGACTTCTTGGCCTTGGACCTCGGGGGCACCAACTTCCGCGTTCTCCTGGTGCGCGTGGCCACAGGAGGTGTGCAGATGGCCAGCCAGGTCTACTCCATCCCCGAATGTGTGGCCCAGGGCTCCGGGCAGCAGGTACCCACAGTCTGGGCCTGAGGTGGGGCGGGGCGGGGCAGGGCAGGGCAGGGCAGGTGCCCACCCGCTGACCTGCCCACCTCTAGCTCTTTGACCACATCGTGGACTGCATCGTGGATTTCCAGCAGAAGCAGGGCCTGACCGGGCAGAGCCTCCCCCTGGGTTTCACCTTCTCCTTCCCGTGCCAGCAGCTTGGCCTGGACCAGGTGAAGGAGGAGGGTCTGCAGAAGCAAGCCCCAAGGGCCTCCTACCATACCCCTGAACCCCAAGGGCCTCCCACCATACCCCCGAGCCCCAAGGGCCTCCACCATACCCCGTGGAGTGAGCAGGAGGCTGGGGAAAGGGGAGGGGTGTGGGTGGGCGCAGCACTGCTCGGTATAGCCTGCACCTGCCTGTCTCCCGACAGGGCCTGTCCAGGCTTAGGGTCTGGGGCATTTGGGAGCTGGGCAGGCCCAGACTGAGGCTGATGGGAAAACACCGCTTCCTCAGGCTGTAGCGGCCGCGCTCCTGTCTCCAAAAAGGGCCTGATACCACACGTTTTTTTGCCCTTCCTCCCTTCCACTGCCTGCTCATTTCCTTCTCGGAGCTGGCCAGGCACTGGCTGGGACAGGGGAGTGACAGTGCAGGTCTAGCACAGCGTCCCCACCCAGCACACACCTCCACGTCCTCGGCTGTTGGACTTCCAATGCACACTCTGATGCCTGTCCCAGAAACAGCTCCTGGAGCCTCTGCTCCGAGTCCCCCATGTCCTCAGCACCCCCATCGTCCGCTTAAAAACCTCTAGGCCCAGGGCTCACTGCCCTAAAGCCACCTGTTGCCTTCTTAGCCATCCGCGGTCATCAAAAAGCTCCCAACATCCACCCGACCAGCTCCCGCCTACTGGGACCCGAGGCCCCCCTGCTCCTGCTCCCACCTCTCTCTGACAGGCGACCCCTCACCCTGCTCCCCCCCTGCAGTTTCCTGCGCCTCCGGGCCAAGCCTGTCTCCCTGCCAGTCTGCCCCACGCCTTTTACTGTAGTACTCTCTGTGAGGGGTGAGACGCAGGGGTGAGAATCCAGCCGTGAGAGACAGCTTGTCCATTCCTGGGTCTCAGTTTCTGTGTTGCCCACATCCTCTGAACTGTGAAAACTTAAAATGAATGAATGTGGGGACACCCCTCCACAGGTGGGGCCCCTCTCGGTGTCCTGTGTTGTACAGGGTGTGTAGACTGGGGACAGGGGATCTGGGCCTTGCTCCTCTGGCCCTCACTGACACGCCCCGAGCGTTACCGAGGAAGGTTGGCAGAGCGCTCTGTGGCACCGAGGGGTCTTCAAATTCCTTTTGTGCCCACTCAGCCATCACAGGGTTCGCCCAGGACCGAGGGCCTGCCACCTTCCACAGGGAGCCATCAGAACTCTGGGCTGAGGCCGGCAGGTGGCATGGTGATTAAAGCAGCTGGACTCCCACATGGCCAACACGGTTTGAGTCCTGGATCTGGTGACTTGAAACTCACATTGGGAGCGTATGTGTGCATGCCCAGAATCTCAAGAGGAGAATGGAAGAGAAGGGACTGTGGCACGGCCATTCCTCTGGGTGTGATTTCTTGCTTCTCCGTTCTCCTCCATTCTCCTCTAGGGATCTTGGGCATGCACGCACATGCGCCCAGCGTGAGTTTAAGCCGCCGGGTCCGGGACTCAAACCACGGTCGACTATGTGGGAGTCCAGCGACATAGCCGTTACGCCAACAGCTGGTCCCTCCCCTGTGAGCTCTTTATGAGAGGGAGTCTGCGTCACTCGGCCGTTGTGCCGTCTCTGTCCTCTGCGTTCTCACGTTACAGCCCTGCAGCCGTGTTCATTGCTAACTCAGTCACAAAGGGCCATTCTTCTGGGGCACACGTCTCCCAGGGGCCAGACTCAGACCATCTGATGCTCCCGAGCTAGTAACGGATGGTGCCCATCACACTGAGCGGCCCCCGAGGGTCGGGGCGGGGTGGGCGCGGCGTGCTGCCGGGAGGGCAGCGTCGGGCTTCCGAGGGGCCGCGGGCCGCGGGCTGCGAGAGGCAGTGAGAGAGAGGCCTGAGGGCCCCAGCTGCCCGTTCCCCGCCCTCCCGGTGCCACCCCAGGGCATTCTGCTGAACTGGACCAAGGGTTTCAAGGCGTCGGACTGCGAGGGCCAGGACGTGGTGTGTCTGTTGCGGGAAGCCATCGGGCGCAGACAGGTAGGAGCCCGCCGGTGGGCTGCAGCAGGCCTTGAGGGTGCAAAGGGTCCTCTGGGTCCAGCACTGGTTGCCGTGACAACCGCATTGCCCAGCAACTAGCGGCATCCTTTCGCGTGCAGGCGGTGGAGCTGAATGTGGTTGCCATTGTCAATGACACGGTGGGGACCATGATGTCCTGTGGCTATGAAGACCCCCGGTGTGAGATGGGACTCATTGTCGGTGAGGAGGGCCTGGCCTTGGGGGTGTGGGCTGTTTCTCTTGGACCCAGTGGGGCCCCAGTCCCTGCTGGGCCGGGAGTCCGGAGCGCGGGAATTCCACCCAGCTCAGCTACTGAGTCTCGGCACGTAAGCTCGCCGAGCTTCGTCTGCCCATCCATGAGTGCCTGCGCCTTGGGGTCGTACCGATGTGGGTGGAGATACGAACTCGCTGCTTCCCCTTAGGACCCTGGGCAAGTCACTAGGGCTTCAGCTTCCTCATAACTTTTCCTTTCAGTTTGCTATAAGGTGTGTGTACTCGCTGGGTGGGGCGTGAGAAATCACCCCGGGGGATGACCACACTGCAGTCCCTTCTCCCGTCTCCTTTTGGGACTTGGGGCATGCATGCACACGTGCCTGGTGTACTTTTCAAGCCTCTGGGTCTTGGGCTGGAACGGGGCAGCTGGCTATGTGGGAGCCAGCCTCCTGGTGGCCCGGATCCTCCTCTTCAGGATGGAGATGAAATGACTCAGTGGGTCACAGGGTGGACACAGAGGGCCAAGCCAGCACGGTGCCCGGCTCAGGAGACATACTTGTTTAGGACAGGGGCCTAGGTTCAGAGCCCTGAGGCCAGCTCGGGGGACACACACAAGGAAAACTCCCTGTCACTGGGAACTGACCGTACAGAGAAGGTGAACCCAGAGCAGCCCAGGGCAGGACAAGGCCAAGGTCAGACAGAAGGGGTCCTGGAACAAGTGAATCTAGAAAAGAAGCTTCGAAAGGAAGGAGGCGGCTAGGTGTTGGGGCGGGGAGGGCTCCCATGCCACGGGCATTGCTGCCACTGGGCTCTGAGAGGGGTGGGTAGCTGTTCGGACGTGGGGCCTGGCGCACGTGGCACTCCGGACAGGCACGCCTAGGTTGCTCTGTAAACGAACGGGGTGGAGGAGCCCCGGGTGCGGCCGGCCTACGCTGAGCCGTGAGAGGAGATGCCTGCCTCCAGGGCTTACCTGGAATGCGTTTGCCTGGCTGCGCTTCTTGGCTGCAAAGCCCAGCTCAAATCACGTTCTCCTCAGTGGCTTTTCCTGACCCTGCAGGCAGGAAGACCCGCCTGTGTCCTGGGCGGCTACGCTGCCCTCCGGTGCGCTTCTTGGGCACACAGAGGCACTGCCAGCGTGGGCTGGCATCTTCCAGCTTCTGGCCAGACCGTGGGGCTCCTCGGGTCTGAGTTCTCCATGTCCTGGCTCGGTACCCGCTAGTTTAACTGGGCTGCTTTGGCCTCTTGCCAGCAGTCAGGGGCTGCCACGCGTCTCCAGGGCAACGACGTGACTGCTGGGCACTGGAGGAGCCCTTCGTGGGGAGGGAGGCAGCGGGACCAATGGTGGTGGAAGTAGAGGCCTCACGGGCTTGGTGCTGGCTGGGTCCGCACGAGGGGCACCAGGAGGAAAGGGGGACCAGGACCGGGGCAGGTTTGAGCGCAGGGAGACAGGGAGGGCACGGGCCCAAACTTGCCACCTTGTGTGGGAAGGGCTCTGAGGGGCCCTGTCTGTACCATCGATGGCTCCCGCCCCATCTGCTCCGCCTGCAGGGACGGGCACCAATGCCTGCTACATGGAGGAGCTGCAGAACGTGGCGGGCGTGGCCGGAGACTCGGGCCGCATGTGCATCAACATGGAGTGGGGCGCCTTCGGGGACGATGGCTCGCTGGGCATGCTGGGCACCACGTTCGATGCGCGTGTGGACCAAGCATCCATCAACCCGGGCAAGCAGAGGTGGGGCTGGGCCCAGGCAGCCGTGGCTGGCATGGGCCGGCACAGGTGGCGGTGCCGGCAGGGGCTGGCCCTGCTCACGTGCGTCCGTGCAGGTTTGAGAAGATGATCAGCGGCATGTATCTGGGGGAGATCGTCCGCCACATCCTCCTGCACCTGACCAGCATTGGGGTGCTCTTCCGGGGCCAGCAGACCCAGCGCCTTCAGACCAGGGACATCTTCAAGACCAAGTTTCTCTCTGAGATTGAAAGGTGTCCCGGGCCTGCCCGCCGCTCCACCGAGTCTGTCCACCTGGGGCCCCGCTGTTGTGGGGGGTATCCGCTCTGGAGGATGGCGGGGAGTCACGCAGGAGGGAGCAAACGCAGCCTTGTCACTCTGTCCCTTCCTGGTCCCCAGTGACAGCCTGGCCCTGCGGCAGGTCCGGGCCATCCTGGAGGAGCTGGGGCTGCCCCTGACCTCCGACGATGCCCTGATAGTCCTGGAGGTGTGCCAGGCCGTGTCCCGGCGGGCCGCCCAGCTCTGTGGGGCAGGCGTGGCTGCCGTGGTGGAGAAGATCCGGGAGAACCGAGGCCTGGAGCAGCTGGCGGTGTCCGTGGGAGTGGACGGGACCCTGTATAAGCTGCACCCACAGTGAGTCGGCGCCTGGACGGGTGGGCTGCTCGGCCAGTCGGAGTCTGGCTGGCTGAGGCTCACCTCGGCCCTCCACCTCACAGCTTCTCCAGCCTGGTGGCAGCCACGGTGAGGGAACTGGCCCCTCGCTGTGCGGTCACCTTCCTGCAGTCAGAGGACGGGTCCGGCAAAGGTGCAGCCCTCGTCACTGCTGTCGCCTGCCGCCTTGCCCAGGCGGCCCCCGTCTGAGGAAGGCTCCAGGGACCACAGGATCTCGGCCTCTGCTGTGTTGGGCGAAGACTTGCCCCGCTACCCGGGCCCCCAGGACAGCCTGTGTGTGACCCCCTGTGGCCATCGGCCTCACCCCTGGGCTTTCCTCAAGAGAAGCAGCAGTCGGGTTAGCAATATATATATATAATTTATTTACATTCACGTCCGCTAAAATCCCTACGCGCCGCGGCGGCCGGGCAAGGCTGTGCACATAAGGCCACGTGCAAGTGCGTGAACGCACTTGGGACAGGACAGTCAGGACACGGGCTCCACACGGCAGGCCGGGCCGGCCCGGAGCGCGCAGCTCGGCACGCACTCGCCACTGCACAGCCCGCGACTCCCATTGCATATTCACAGCCCGGCGGGCAGGGCTCCTCAAGGCTGGGGCAGGGAGGGCAGGCGGACGGGGGGTCCCTGGGGGTGGGAGAAGGGCAGCATGTGAGAGGCAGATGCCGACACCGACAACACCAACACTGGGCGTGAAGACGTGAGCGGCCTCCAGGTGTGCAGCATGAGATGCGCGTGAGGGGTGTCTGCACGGCCGGGGTGCGTGTGAGATGAGCACGCCAGGCACAGGCCCGTGAGGTCGTGCTCCTGACCCAGGGGCCGCCCCCTTTCCGGCTGTGGCCCTCGGTCCCGTAGGCTCGGGCCGGGCCCCTCAGACGTGCCCCGACCCGGCAGGCACAGGAATGTTTGCATAAGGTCCGGCTCAGGCGGGAGCTCGGGGCGTCCCGGGCCCAGCGTGTGTGCACGCCCATGTGTGTGCGGGCCCCGGGAAGGGCAGGAGAGGTAGCATCACACACGCACACACAGATGGCTAGGCCCGCTGGCTCCAGGCACTGTCCCCCCGGCCCCGGCCCCGAGACTGTGAGGCGGCAGTGCCAGCCTGGCCAGGCAGGCTGTGGAGGGTGGGATTCCAGGTGGGAGGGTCTGCAGGACCAGCGCTATGGAACGACTCCAGCCAGGAGGGCCCTGACCACGCAGCTCTCCGTGTGCCAGAAGGCCCCTGTCCGGCTTCTGCCTGGCCTGGCGGGTGCCAAAGCTGGTGAGAGTGTAGGTGTTTCAGGCCGGGCTGGCCTCAGCACTCGGCCTCCGACACTGTG